GATCTGATCCTGCCACTGGGGACCTAAGATCTGATCAATAATTCCCCACTTCCGGCTCTTTTCTATTCAGCATCTTCAGAGCCAAAACGAGTCACACAGCGTTTACTGCTGGCTCGTGACCAGCTCTCTGACCCCAAGCTCTTCTCAGAGCCTGAATGAGGCACATCATTCCTCCAGCCACACTGGGAATGTCCTCACCTCAGCAGGACTGGTCGTCCAGGGCACCCCACAGCAGGATCGAGTGCACCAGCTTCTTTTCTGCTTTTGCTCTCTCAAAAGCTTGTGTGAAGGGAAGATAGGAGACCTGGAGGCAACAAACAGCTTGAGAAACAAGACACACAACAGCCCATCTCAAATACAAGCAGACCTGAAGGAACCAGACCTGTCACATCCCTCAGGTGAAGTACACAGAGTTGAACCTGCAGCACATCCTGCAGATTAAAGCAAACGACAACTGTGGTGGTGTCCCCAAGGACAACTTCATCTTCTGGTGAGATTACAAGCAAGCCCTTCACAGCATGTGGGCTGTTACCAGGACCTGCAGAGCCCCATCCTCATACATTACAGAGAGCATCTGCACAACTGTGAGCTGGCTGGCTGCAAACTCCCCTCAGCAGCCTGGGAAATGTGGCTGTGAGATATTCATTACAAAACCTTACTGAAAAGGCCTAAAAACTGTCTGTGAGGGAGCCTGCACAGAGATTATTCCAATCACTCAAATGAAGGGAACTTTATTAACATCTTGGCAGCTCAAAGGGACATTTGTAAGCTCAGACACAAGGAGGCAGCCATTGAAACGTGTCCCTTCAGCCAAGGAAGCAGTGACAGGCAGTAGCCATCTGCTCCACAGGCTACCGGCATGTTAAATAGTTTGGGTCACCCAATGCTATCAATTTGTGTCTCGCTGTGGGATGCAGAGGCACAGGCAGATTGTGTGTTTTCTGCTGATAAGGAAAGCTGGGTCCAAAGGTAGCTGAACATGGCAGAAGAAATGCCAGAGGAAAAGCATTTGTAAGCTGCCTCTCTCAGAAATCACGTTGGCAGCTACTGATAACAGGAAGGAAGGATGAGCCCACATTTACAAGCCCGGGACACACAACATCAGGCTTTGTTCCTGCCTGTGCTGTTGTGCAACCACAAACAGCCTTTCAGAGATGCTGTACTCCCTCATCTGGAAACTGGAAGTCCATCCAGTCACACACACAGTGGCTGGGAGGAGACCCTCACACCATGCTGAATGCTGATCAGGTTGTGGCCTCTGGTTTCTGCTGGTCCTTGAGGTGACTGGACAACCCAGTGAAAACGATGTGCCCCAAATAAACATGCCATGGAAGAGCCCCGTCCCCCTTCCTCACCTTCTTAAATGGATACATGGCCACTTCCAGTTTCCGGGCTGCCTCTTCCCAGGGTATTTCCTGCTGCCAGGTTATCTCTTCGAACACAAACTGGATGGGCTCTCCTGAGGGATCCCTGCTGTCAATCACATTGCCATTCTCATCATGGATCACAGAAGGGATCGAAGGCCCAGTCGATTCAAGCTCCATCTGCAGGAGAACAAACACATTGAGCTGGACATTGCAGACATCCCACTCCTGTTTTTCTGTAGTCCAGGACAGGATGAAGAGGCAAGACAGGACTGTGCAGTTTCCAATGAAGATACAGCTCTATCTATTGTCTCCTGGAGCTGCGCTTCACCAGTTGCAAATGTGTATTAGTGGGGAATAGCAGGAAAGCAACTTCATTTCCTTCAGTTACTGTGCTCTCTAGATGGGAACTGCATGAGACTTGTTCACTCCGTGTTCCCACCTCCCCAGGTGGAGATTTCTGATGGTGGGACACTAGATCCTTCAATCACTGAGCTCCACAGAGCTAGTTTGAAGCTCTTGCTCCTATCCCCAGCACAGCCCTTACCCAACCCGTGGCTAACCACGAGAGGGGGCAATACAAAAGCTGTTCAGGAGCTTCCCCCAGTCCACTGTCTGGGACAACTGAAATGATTTTGTAAGTCTGTTTTCTCAGCTCTTGGCAATTAAAAAGAAACATGGATCTAGTTTAAGACCAAATGGGACTGTTAAATTCAGGCATTCAAAATCCTGACTCATGTTTCCTGTCCCAAGAGCTGGGATTACCACAAAGTAGAGGAATAACCTCATGCAGTTTCTAAATTCAGACACACTGTTGTTCATGCACCCCTCTGGGCTCAGGGCCTGGGTTCAGCTCCTCATCTCAGACAACTCTGGAAAGCTGGAAAGAGCCACACATCTCCAGGTGTGTAGGATTCAACCCACACAAAGGGCAAACTAAAATACCACAACTGGTAACGGGGAGCCACAGAGCTGCAGAGGACACACACAGACCAACAGAGATTATAGAGTTAGATTGAAACGTTCACGAGAAACCTCTGAAGACCAGGGACAGCTGAGGTTATACAGCTCAGGGCCATGGCAGCATAAATCCCTGCTGAGCTGCTGCATGCATATGGAGGACTGAGAGTGTCTACAGACCTGAGGCAGGTATCCAATGTCCACCTCCATGTTGCTACTTTCACTTGCTCCATACAGCCACTCCATATCAACGTTCAGGGACCTGCAAGGTGAAGCCAGGATGTTCAGAGTCACTCAAGGTTAAGGCTGTGTATGGGAAATGCCAAACAAATGACAGCATCCAATGCTCCTCTTGCAGGGTCAGCATTAAGGCCCAGAGCCCCCAGCTCCTTGGAGATCACTGTGTTCCCTGCATATGACCAGCAACTCTAGAGCCCAGGATCAGGGTCCAGGCACCCACTGGGCTCTGGGCAAATACACTCACACCTTTAAGTACTACCAAAGTACAAGAGAGAGGTGACTTTGCTGCCCCTTCCTTCCTAGCACTCGACTTGCACATTCTTTTTCTGAACTTCTAAAAGTGGTTGGGTTTTTTTTGGAAGCAAAAGGCTTTTGTGAGTTGTTGCTGGCAGAGATGTACATGTCTGCTTGCTGTAAGAAATGTGCTGACAGAGCCACAGGGGTTGAGTCGCCAGGGTAATGTTATAATAGAATTTTCACTCCGGCTGTCATGGGCAAAGAGATTTGAAGCTTCTTTCCCCTGAAACACTTCCAGCTGCTTGCCAGAGAGCAGGAACGAGCTAGTGCGAAACTCTGCACACAAAACCTCAACCTGTGAAACACCAAGCAAAAAATACGCTGAAGTAAGAGCATCAGGTTTGCTCAACTTCAGTGCTTTAAGCCAGGCACTGGGATTGCCAGGGGCTGCTCCCCACACCCTGCTCATCCCTCCCCATTCTCCAAGTACCAAGGGACAGTTTCTGGTGATTGAATCTGAAATGGGTCAGGGATCCTCAGCGACTGGTAGAGATGCATTTGCCAGTTTTACGAGCAACAGCAGAGCTCAATTCACTCAGCTTTTCCAGGAACTTGGCTGAAAAGCATGAGCTCATCCATCACAGACACCCAAGGAGCCTTCTTCAGCCTGCAGCAGGTATGTGACAATTGCAGGAGTCCCTGCCCCAGCTGGGGACTGCTAGTCAAGGGGAGCAGTGCTCACAGCAGTGCTGCTAATAAAGAGGATGCTGCCTGTCTCTAGGGCAGTGGAGGCACGATGGAGGACATCAAGACACATAGGGATGAGGACAGGACATGATGAGCGTGATGACTGCTGGCAGTGAAGGATGACTGGGGAAAGCAGATAAACAAACTGTAGAACTAGGCTGCCCAAAGCTCAGCCTGACCTGCACAGGCCAGGATACCCACATACCACAAGGGACAGGGCTGCTGCTTGCACTCATACCTTCACATAAAGAGAGCCCACCAGCCTTCCCCCATGCACAGCCCCAAGCCCTGCAGAGGACAGGATCCCAGAGCCCCTGTGTTCCACTGGGCCTCATTTATATAACCCTCAAGTCTGTTCAGCACCCAGAAAGAGAAAGAAACAGCCATACCTGTTGTTAGGGACAAATAGCTTAAATTCTCGGACATGGGAAGAATCCTTGGAGAGGATGATGTAACCTGTGAACTGGCCTGGGGAAAACCAGAAGGGGAAGTGTGGTGGCTCGTTCAGCTGGAACTCAGCGTGGATCCTGAAATGAGAAAGGAGCCATCAACTGCAGTGCCGGGAGGAGAGAAGATGACAGCAGGGAAAAGTTATCTCCAGGCACCAGAAATTATGAAGCTAAATTGGGGCAGAGAGGTTCAGTTCAAAAAGCTTTTCATGTCACACAGTGATAAGAGTAAAAGACTGGAGCAGATCCCCTGGGTTACGATCATCTCCAGTATTGATGCTTTTTGGAATTGGGCAATAAGTGTTCATCCAGGAAGGATGAATTATTTTATCATTCCTTGAAACACAGAACAGCCTAAGACCCCTTCAGCCTCCCTTCCAGCTTGATGAGGCAAGTAAAAGCTGTGTGTAACACTCCCAGTAACACAAGAGAACAATTTCCCAGACTCTCACCCTTGGAAAGGCACTCCCCTGCCCTGATTAACCACAGCCTAACACATTTCATGCTAATCAGACTGTTCTTTCAGCCAGGGATAGCTCTAAACCAAGGACAATGTCCTGCATCTGGGCAACAGTCCCTGCCCCACCAGGGGCTCTGGAAGCATGGGCAGCAGCAAAGCAACACACATGGGCAAGAGCTGGCTGTGAACCACCCTCTTCCTTGAGCTGCTTTGCTTCCCTCCCAGCCAGGACACATCTGGCCTTGCTTGGGAACACAACATGCAGTGACACACACACTCTCTGCCACAGGCTCACAGCAGCCTTCTCTGTTCCCTTGAGATACAGAACAGACTCAGAAGCTTTCCTCTAATCCCTGGGCCCACGGCCTCACCTGAACGCGATGGTGTAGTAGAAGGTGCTGCTGGCTTGGATACAGGCCACAGCTCCCTGCGGAGCAAAGCGGGTTTTCACAAAGGGGCGCGGGTGGAACATGCTCAGAAGCCTGTGGATGATGATCTAGAGAGAGAAATGTAAGAGAGCAAAAATGAGAACAGTTCCTTCACCGCAGGTCAGCCGCAGCTCCAGAGAAGCTCCCCACCAGATCAGGAAGGCAAGGGAACTGCTATGATAGAAAAACTAGCTCAGAGACCTACCTCATCACAAAACAAGGAGCTAAAGTGAGTGACTGGGTTTAAAATGAAATCCATTTCCATGCTTTTTATGCTCTTCCCATCATTTGCAAGTTTCCATCATCCCAGTCTGAGTTAGTCAAGTCAGCCTCATCTGGCCCTGAGAGACACCCAGAGCTTTTGCCTGCTCTCAGTTTTACCTCCAATTTAGGAGACAGTGCTCCTGGCTATAAGCTGCAGCCTTTTTCCTCCCTTAAGAAGTCCAGGGAGACAGAATGCAATAGCCTTGTCCCTCTAGGGATTCTTGAGATTCATCTGGGCTACAAGGCAGAACATTTATACGAACTACCTCTCAAGTATATAGAAATTGAGTTTCATATCTCACCTCTTTGCCCTTGGGAGGCGGAGGGTAAAATCTGTTGTTGGAAAGATACCCAGTGAAGATGTTCAATTCGCTAGGAATTATCCACCATGGATCCCCAAGATCCAGTTTATTCTTTGGAGGAAGAAAGGCTTTAAACTGCTTGGCAAGCAGCACGCTCATAGGGGCTGCTGGGGCAGTCCAGTTCCTCAGCCCAGACAGAGCAACATGAGAAATCTGTGAACAAAAGATACTGTCAGAGCCTCGACCAGCCCCTTCAATCCTGCAGTCGTGCTCATGGATGTACAGAGGCTTTGGAGAAGGGGAAAAAGAATTATAATGGTTTAAATTCTTTCTACCACTCCAACTACCACCAAATAGTTCTGTCAACTTTTAATCATGTGAGTAATAGGAAGCGGGAGCTTTTGGACTTAGCTCCAGGAGATCCATCTCTAATGTCTGCTTCAAGCTTCCCAAGAAGGCTGTATTAACTGGGGCACAGTGATACTGAGTGTGCTGAGAACAATGAACTGCTGCAGAAAGCAGCGAGTTTGTTCATCAAAGCAAATCCCATGGCCTTGAGCAAGACTACCTCCCCACCCTACCACGCCAGCACTTATTGCTGGTGATGTTACCAGCCCTTTGCATGTGTTTATACCAGAATTTGTGGCCATACACATCCTGCGTGACACTTACTCCCAAGAAACCGTCTTTGCTCTTCGTCATTGTTTCCATGACCAAAGGCTGGAATTTAGCCACAATGGACAATGTCTCCCCGCTTGTATCGGAGGTCTCCTCCTCTTCAAATTCTGAGATGGGAGCAACCCCTAGGCAAAGGAGCAGAAATTTAGGCAGCTGTTTCCTTTTCCTCTGCTTTTAAGCAATTGTGAAGTGATTACACGTTCATCCTGGCAAATCCAGCAATACTGGGAGTCTCCCAGCTCTCCATCCAGCAGCAGAACTCAGGCACACCCCAGAAACCAGCTAAAGGGGAGCTCTCCTTTCAGCAGACAACTCTCTAAACCCCACAGCTTGGCTGAACAGTCTCATTTCACCTTGGAGGGATGAGAACACATGCTTTACCCAATGAATTACAGCACAAGCAAACAGCTGTATTGGGACTGCACTGTAGGTTATCATCACCACACTGTTTCTTGTGTGGCACCACCAAGATACAGGCTGACAGTGTCTCCAAACAGGATCTCTCACAACTGCTACCTGAAAGAGATGCCTCAGTCAGTGTATGAATGAAATGCTGCCACTTACTAACAGTTTTGGCCTTGCCCGGGCTGTATCTGCATGTATCTGTTGCATTCACCCAGCCCAAATCCCCTTTAAGCTCTAGACAAAGTAACTTCTGTGCTTTGCTAGCCCAGCAATGGGATCTTGTGTCTTACAAACCCTCTACTTTGTGGAAGTGATGTGTGTCTAGTGCTTAAGCCTTTTCAGACTCTTGTAAAGCTCAGCAGCCTCACTTCATGTAAATAAGACTCAAAACAGCACCCTGAAAAAATAAAGACATGAATAAAACCGGTTCAGTGCATTATCCCTGGCTTTTGCTTGGACTGTGCAGAGGGAGCTCTGCGGAGCAGATAGACACCTACCTGTCAGCTTCTCAGCTATCGGCTTGAACTCTTCTGGACTGAGGTACAGGTCATTGTTTGTGTCCAGAGAAGAAAAGAGAAACAGCCCCTCACTTCCCAAAGACTTCAGTGCCAGCTCCTAGTTCAGGAAGAAGAGGCAAGTGAGATTTCATTCCAGCCTCTTGCAGAAATTCACTCGTGCCCCTCTCAGCTTCAGAGTTAATTTAAATTCTTTCCAGCACACAAACACAGGCATTAAATCAAAAGATTAACACCCCTTGGCAGAATTTTGTGCTATTTACAATAGGGATTGGTGTCCAGGAACTGCTGGCATGAGCATATTAAAACTACATCTGGCTGAGTAATTCCAACTGAATCATTTGCTCAGAGTCAGCCTCAAAGTCTTTTGTCAGAAAGAAATGCCAACTTTTTCCAGATAGTGCTAAACCTGCAGCTATTGAGAGCACCTGGAGATGGTGATTCCGTGACAAACTGATGTGCAGTGAAACAAAGGCAAAGCCGTGACTACCCACATCACAAAAACACAAAGGACATGAACTGAGCCCTTGTAACTGCAGAAAGCAACTTATACCCGTGCTGAGCTTCATGCCATACATCCACATATCCACTGTCACATGCAATTCCCTGCTCAAGTCAGGCTCCCCTCCAAAACTCCAGCTTCAGGGCTGGCTGGAGCATTTTGTCCCCTGCCTGCTTGGTCAGCCATGCACTGGGGAGCCACAAACCCATGGGCTTCTCCAGAACCTTCTGCAAGATCCCAGCCATGCTGTGCCTCGGTTTCTCCCTCTGCAAAGTCCACAGGGGAGAACACCACTGGAACACAATGGAGCAGCCTCAGAAAGGCTCTAGATGCTTCTGGTCATTTCTGCTCTGCAGCGCTCAGCACGGAAGGGAAAGGGACAACTTGCAGGCAGAATATGAGAGCTCCATGTTGGTGTGAGAGGAAGAGACAGAGCAAGCCAGACAAGCCACATCACTGCCAGCCAGCCTGCAGCACATCCCCTGTGACCCATCATTTGGGACAGCTTCCCCTGCCACCCCTGTAAAAGCCTAAAGCGGCAGGATAAATACTCTGTATTCTGCTGTTTAACGGTGTTTATTCTCTATTGCCTGCAGCACCACCACCATCCCCAGAGCTCCTGAACTAGTTTATTCTCCATCTGTTGCCTGCCAGCCTGAAGCAGCACTAATGCTGCCTGGAAGGCTTTGCTCCTGTCAACTGAAGCAACAAAAGCACTTAAGAGCCTTCCAGGGCAGTTTCAGGACTGAGACAAACAGAAATAAAGACCCTGGAATATAAACCAGAGATCTGGAAGCAGACATGGCTGTGGAAGGACAAGGAGGGGAGTGTGCACAGTTGAAATAAAGGAATGAAGGATTATCTACATACAGCAACAATCCTCTCTTGCCTGTCCATGCTTCTGGGGCCAAAAACATGCCTTTGTTCCCCAAATGAACAGAGGTGCCCATGCTTGGCCCTGTAAATTGATAACAACATTTTCCTGAGCAACTTCCCTAACAGCCAGGTGCCAGGGTCATGTCATGGAGCCTTGGAGCAGGCCTCAGTATCCCTGTAAGCTCTAGAGTGCTTGTGCACAGCATGGAATGCATTAACCTCACATGGGCCCATGTGATTGCTCGCTGGGAGTGGGCTCCTGGAGCAGGGAAGCATGCTCGGAGTGTGATGGCTTCTCCTCTGCAGGGGAGCCTGTCCTGGATGTGTACTGAGCTCTGAAAAGACGCTCCATTTCCTA